AGTAAATTGAATTCACAACTTATGAAACGCAATTAGAAGTAATCAAATCATATAGCAAGCATAAACATGGTTTTGAATCCCCCCGTAGCCAAGGGGGTTTAGTTCCTCATACTCGTAAGCAAAGATACATAAAATTAGAAATTAAAATCCAAAGAAAGAAAACACCTAGAACGCTCCAACTTGGCAGCAAGCGCATCAACGATTTCTCCTTCTTCCTTGCTGTGGCAGAGAAGTTTAGAACAGGTTTTGGGTGGTATTTATGGTGTAGAATGGATGGGGAATGTTATGGAAAGGTTTAGGGTTGATGGGTGGTGCGGCAAGGGATGATTTCTGGCTGGAATTAAAGAGAATGGTGGTGGAAAGTTGCGGTAGAGAGTAAGGCAGATTTCTGGCGTGAATTGTGAATTATGAGAGGTGGTGGTGTGCGGCAAAGGTGTGGAGATATATATATAAGCACCAAAAACCCTAGCAAATCAGATTAGGGCTTCTAGAAAACCAAATCCATCAGAAAATAGGTTAAAACAATCAGATTTTGAATGGGAAAAGGCCTAGGGTGCGACTGGATGGATAGGGTAAAGGATTGGCTTTCTAGAAAGCCCAACACCAAGAAGAAATAGGCCCTAACCCACGGCAAGGATGAGAAATTATTCTAGAACCTTTCTTTGTGTCTTCCAACGCTTAGGAACCTTCTAATGTTGCTAAAACTCAAGGCCATTTAGGTTTAGGAAAGATCAACCCAAAGTGGAAACTTTTAGGCTTAGCTTTCCTACTTCAAGTAGGAAACCTCGTTTGAGTAGGAATCTTCATTCTTCTAGGAATCCATCTTCAACTAGGAATCCCTCGTTGATTAGGAATCCTTCTTCAATTAGGACTCCTCCTTGGACTAGGAATCCCTCTTGGACTAGGAATCCTCAAATCTTCAAATCTTCAATTTCATCCAAACCTTGTGTTCCAAGCATGTACTTTCCAATCCACGCTCACTTTTGCTCCAAAAAGCTCCAAATTGCATCATTTAAGGTAATATGCCCTTTAAACCTGAAAACACATGAAAGTAGCTTAAACGTCTATTTTAACTTAGAAAACATAACAAAAATGCATAAGAACTAGCTAACTAAGGCGCATAAATATGCTCCTATCGCCTAGCATTAGATTTAAGCATGTAAACTAAGTAGGCCTCCTTAATCAACATACAAGAATAGGTTTTGAATAAAACAGTTAAGCAAATTGCATTCACACTTTATCAAATCACAACTGGAATTAGTCAATTCATACTGCAAATATAATCATGGTTTCGAAATTCCCCCTAGCTATAAGGGGTTTAGCTCCTCATGTTCACAAAACAAAGATAAACAAACTTAAACATTGAAATCAAAAGATAGATTACACCTGAGAATGATTTTGCAATCCAAACTTGAATAGCAAGCACTCCAAGGGTCCTCATTCTTCTCTTTGTTGCGGCACAAGGGTGTAGAATGGTGTAGGTTGCGGCAAAGATGGTTTCTGAGTTATATGGGGGGTGGTAAACGAATTTGACTGAAAATACATATATATAGGCACGGTACAAACCCTAGGGTAATCAGTTTAGGTTTAGAACTTAGCAGAAATCAAGGATTAAGGCCTAAAGGTGCGGCACAAAGGTTTAAATCGACCAGGAAAAAGGTTTGGCCCAATTAATTTCTGAAAAGGATTTTCATAACCCAAGTCCACAAGGAATAAGGCTAACAAAATCAGAATCCAAGGGGAATTGGGTGAGGAAAGGCACAGCAAGAATTGGAGGGAAAAGGAGAGGAGTGCAAGGCAAGGCAAGGCAAAAGCCTTCTAGAAAGGAATATGCGCCACTTTTGTAGATTTCTAGAAGCAATGTGTTTTGTAGCAAAAATTAAAACTTCTATAAGGGAATGCTTCTAGAAATAGATATCTAGGCCCCCTTGCAGCTAGATTTAAGGTATGATGAGATTAGGATAGGATAAGATATGGTTAGTTTGGATAAGATAAGGTTAGATAAGGTTTTGGATAATGTTCCTTCTTTTGAGTTGATTCCTTATCTTCTTTGTCTTAAATTTAATTTCTTCATGTCCTTATCAGATTCCTAGCCTTTTTAGCTTCAAAAACGTCCATCCAAAGTGCTCCCCACATATGCTATCCATTTGGTGCCCAAAAGTGCTCTAAAATGCTTCAAAATACACTTTCTTGCCACTGATAGGGATTTTTACTACTCATGTGAATGCGATAAAAACCTTCTATTTTACTTGCAAGAATCACAAGGTTATTGTAGTATAAACGGATCTCGCAAGGTCATTCTCCACAGGGATTATTAAATAAACCGAAACAAACCAGATTTTAATTAATGATTGTAAAGTAGAAATTTGGATGATTGATTTTATAACCTACTTAAAGTAAAAACGAATTTAATGAATTAAAATAGATAATCTGCAATATTAAAGCTAGAGAGAAGAAAACAGTTATGAGAAAATCAAATTAAGAAGGCACTAGGGTTCCACCATCACCTAGCAATCCTATGAATTTTTACCCATTACTTATGATCTACACATGCCACTTTGAAGGTTAGATTTTCCTAATTCATATTCTACTTGGAACCTCCAATATAGAACGTATATCTAACATGCAACCCGTCCGGACGTTCGGATCAAATCTAAACATGAAAGACTCATTATGCTTTATGAAAATCCTTTGAAAAACCATGCAATCCTTAAGACGTGATATTCATCCTAAAAGAAGTTACAATTATTAATCACAAGAAGCCAGCGTCAATTTCAGGGAACCTTCCGACCAAAATTGCATCAAATTACTTTTCTAAAAATCCTAATGGTGATCAGGCATTAAAACAATTAGATAGTTTTTATCCCAGTGATTAACAATTCAAAGTACGCATGCAATCAATCATAAGCAATTAAATAAAAATCACATATTCATGCTAAGGCTCAAGGCTTCACCCTAGCAATAGAAATTAGTTCCGCATATTCATAATTGAAAATCATAGAAACATCTCTTAAGAAAAGGATTGAAAACACCTTCAAGTAGAAAATCTTCAAAACCCTAGCACTTCTCTCTGTCTCCAATATTGCATAAAATAAAGCGTACCCTAAAACTGTAGACGGCCAAGCAATATATTTGCCAAGCCACCCCAAACCCTAGCAAACTAAAATTCATAAAAACCCTAAATAAAAATAGTAAAATTCGTCCAAAATCTGAACAGCCACGTTTTGGCCCAAAAGCTGCCCCAAAACTGGCCCAATATAGCTGGATTTAATGTTTGGAATATTCTGAACACTTTTCCAGAAGGCCACGAACCCATCCGAGGTCATCTTGGGCTCCAAAAACGCAATTTAAGCCCAAAAACGTCATTTTCCAGCACTGCGCACTGCTTCTTTATTTCATCGCCAGAAAATAACCGCTTGGTGGAAAAATCCCAAATTTTGATACGATCAAGCTAAGTGACTCACGAACGTCCTCCAATTGGAATTACTCCAAAATTCGTCCATTTGGTCCTATTTTGCTCCAGAGGAAGTCAAAAGTCCTATATTGAAAATATAATTCAAAGTATCAAAATTCTTCCAATATATTAACCAAAATATACTAAGATTAGGGTAAAATATATAATATAAAATCTACTCATCAAATACCCCCAAACTTAGCTTTTTGCTTGTCCTCAAGCAAAACAAGACTCAAACAAAAAATAAAAACTTAACAAACTAGACAACTAGCTAAAATTAACTGACAAAAATTTTCATCTTCAAAGTTGCAATCCATAGCAAATTTTAAAAACTAGAACATTTTTTCAGAAGTTCCAACCAATCACACCACAGAGTCTAAGCCATTTAGAATCAATTAGAAAAGAATTCACAAACTTCCTTTGGTGTAAAGTGAACCAACATAATTAAGGGGACTCGACTAAAACCCTTACCTCTCGTCCTTATTTATTTCACACATACTAACTTTAAATATAACTCTCTTTCTTTTTTTTTTTTTTTTTTTTTTTTTTTTTCAATTTTTTTTTTTTTTTTCTCTTTTTTTTTTTTCATGTATATAACATTTTTTTTTTTCAGTAACAGTAGTGGTCGTGCAATGTCGGTTCACTTAAGCTTTCAATCCAACTCATGTAGCGAGCTTTAGGTCAATGACTCCCAAACCACTAGGGCTTTAGGGCACTAGGTGTAGAACACCCCTAAGGACTTATTAACCCGAGCTGAAAAGGCTACGAAACCAACTAACCACCCTGCCCCATGCCAAAACTCTACCGTTTGACGCGAGAATCACTGCTGATTAGGCAGGACTGGCCCGGTTACTAGGCAAAACCTCGGGGGAGACAATTATTACTTTATTCACAATAATAACTGACTTTACTTAAAACAAAAATTAAAAATAAACTTAGACTAAAAGCAAGTGTTTCAATCTCACTCCCCACAAACCATGTTGATGTGATGTGCAAAGTTCAAAGTATAATTCATGAATTAGTGTCTAAGCAACGATAAATAGAAAAGACTCTAATGTGGGATTAATCTTTACCATGTCCATTTGTTCTAACGTTTAAAATAATCTATGGATATTAACTTAACAAGAATGAAAATTTTTAAACGACCCAAAATAAAAAAAAACTAAAACTTACTTTCCCACCCCCAAACTTATTTCACACTTTGTCCTCAAGGTGTGGAAAAAAAAATAAAAAAAATGACAAAAATAAAATAAACTTAAACTAACAAATAATAATTATAACAAGGAAAAGTAGTAACAAGAACCAAAGAAAAGAAAAAGAAAAACTACCTGGCGTCTTTGGAAAACATCACAGCATGCATGTGATAAAGAGTAGGCATGGGAATGCTGGCACACGGATGTGATGTGTGAGTGATAAATGAATGGCCAAATACAAGCCACGCCTAGCCGTGGAATTAGCGTGAGAATGGCATGCAGATGTGGTTTAAAAAATATTTTGTCAGTCAGGGCACCCACATAAAAAACTGCACCAGTCCATTGGATTCCCTTCTGCCGTCGAGTACCGAGCCAAACGGCTCCTTTCATGCCTTTCTTTATTTTTTATTTTTTTCAAACCAATCCGTGTTGAGAAATAAAATAATAATGCCGCATCCCCAAGTCCCCATGTCTAGTACCCCGAAAACCTTCAACATCTCTCTCTTTAATAGCAGAAAACAGTATCAGATCTCAAAAACTCAAAAGCCTTCTCTCCATTTTCCTCTGACCCCATTTTTCTCCGCTCTCTCTCTCTCTTCTTCATTGCTCCAGAAAATGCAAAAACCTTCTCCCTTCCATTTAGTTTCTTTTTCGCATTTCTCTCGGATCCCATGTATGGTGGAGCAACACAGGCATGTCTGATTCCTCTATAATAGTGCTCTGGTCCGCAACACCGAGACCCAAACGAACAGATCTAAAACAGTTCGTCCAAAAATCCTCCCTTTGCAGGTAAAAATAAAGCCATGCCATGTCTCCTTTTTGTTCGTTCAAATGTAAAGATGTAGCTTCATTTCTGCAAACTTCATCACCAAGAGTAAAATGAAAATGTTTTTGACTGATGCATTTGATTGTTCTATGTATGTCTCAGTTTCTCTCACAGATTGATGCATCCGTAGCCTTCCATAACCCAACAACGCGCACCTCCGTGAGTACCCCGCCGTGGTGGAAAATCGGAAAAACGGAAACCCAAAGGTAAAATCACCCTCCAATCTTGGGGTTTCATTGTCCAATTAATTTGTTGGAGAGATCTGGAACAAACACTAACACCTGCATGTGGTTTATCAGTGGGAAGAGCCCTAATGGTTTCAAATCCGAGACAACAACACAAGAACAAAACGCTGAATCGCCGTCTCAACTCAAAATCATGTCTCCCAAGCCTCAAGCCATCAGAAATTTTAGTACCATTTTGCACATGCCACGGTAATCACCCTTACCTAGTTCAAGATCCATGTCTCTTAGCTTGCGAAATTTTTTTTTTTTGCAAGTTATATTTGTGTGATGAGTCGCCGTCGAAGCTTACACAGATTTTTTTTTTTTTCCGTAGTAGGTGTCCGAGATGCACAAAGAGACAGAGAAGAGACAAAGTCGAAAAGCTTCCAAACTCACGGATCTGCAAATGTTGAGGTAAAACCCGTAACCCTTTTTATTGATGGACTATGATCTGATACTTGAAATGGACTATGATCTGATACTTGAAAAATAACCCCTACTGTGACTGAAAAATAACACTCAAATCCAGCATACACCCGTGAGAAAACAAGCTTAAGCTGCCGGTCTAATAGTCCCAGAAAGCAAAATCAACAGCAACTGTCGCGGCCTCTGTATGTCATCAAGGTAAAGATCTCGATCGTCTGCTTTTGCTAAGCTCAACATTTACAAGTTCAACAACAGTTCATTAGAATGCCATATGTAACCTGTATGTACTCATATTGTTGGTCTTTATGTAGGGGTATACGGATCCATGATAGAGCCAAGGAGACAGAAGTAAACACACAAGAGCAACGGAGGAAAACAGCACAGGCCGCATGACCCAGATCGATGCATCTGGGAGGTAAAATTCGAATCCCTGTAAGTGTAATTGTTGTAGATCTGGTAATAATATCTGTACTCAGTTCTGTGGTGTATGGATCTGTGATTTAATTGTGCTTCCTCCATGCATCGCAAAACTGAGCTGCAGAAATTAACTGCTCTAAATTCTGTTTGTGCTGGATCTGCAACAATCACTCCCAAACTTGCATCTGTGAATGGCTTTTTATGTTGACTGCTTTAAATTTCCAGCATAGTGTAGATGTGGTTGATGTGATCGTTAGACTTGCTGCTGGGTGCAGGATTCCAGCATAGGACGCGCTTTATTTTACACGTTCGCAACCTGCAATTAACCAATATGCGTCAAAAAATTAAAATAAAATCAAATAAACTGGGTAAATAAAATCAATATGCAATCTTCCATTTTTTCCAAATTTTTTTATTTTTTTATTTTTTTATTTTTTTTTATGTATGTTTTTTTTTTAATATATAAATATATATATTTTTATCTTAAAGAGAAAATCAAACGAAAATTAAAATTAGGAAAGAGTTTAGAAAAATTGGGTTGCCTCCCAATTAGCGCTTTATTTTAAGTCTGTAGCTAGACGTTGCGGAAGTCCGATGGCTAGATCACTGGTGCCTTCAGAGTCAAAGACTTGCCTACACCAAATTTCTCTATGCATGGTTTTAGTTGATGTTTGGTCACCTTCAATGAGAAATCTGTGTCCTTAGCCTTAATGTCCACACTACCATTCTGAAAAACTTTAGTAACTAGAAAAGGGCCTCTCCATCGAGACTCTTGTTTCCCTGGAAATAACTTGAAATCTGAACTTAACCACACTTTTTTACCAGGCTGTATTTTCTTAAAATTCGGGCTGCTTGGAAAATTTTCATATTTTTTTCTTAGTGTTAATTGGCTGGTCTTCATGTATCACCCTTTGCTGCTGTGGTTTAGGACTTGAACAATCACGAGTTAAATTCGGGGGCTTTATGGATAGATGGTCAGTTGATGATCTATTCATAAACTTGGCACTTGGTAAACCATCCAATGCATCAACACGCATGCATTCTTGCTTGTCATCTGAATGTATGCTTGCTTCAAACAACTTGAAAACAACAGTTTGATCTTCAACCCGGAATGTTAATGTTCCGGCTTCAACGTCAATAAGAGTCCGGGCTGTTGCCAGAAATGGGCGGCCCAAAATAATGGGCGTTGTCAAATCCTCATCCATGTCCAACACCATAAAATCAGCCGGTAAATATAAATTGTCAACCTTCACAATAACATCTTCAATGACTCCTCTAGGGTAGGTAATTGAACGGTCAGCCAATTGAATAATACTGGAGGTTGGCTTCAGCTCCCCTTCACCTAGACGTTTGAAAACAGAATATGGCATTAAGTTTACACTAGCACCTAAATCAATTAAAGCACTACTAAAATCACAATTTCCAATGGTGCAAGAGATAGTAAAACTCCCTGGATCTTTTTTCTTTGGAGGCAATTTATGTAATAAGACCGCACTGCATTGTTCTGTAAGAATTACTTTCTTAAAATCAACAAGCTTCTTTTTCTTTGTGCAAACATCCTTCAAAAACTTGGCATAAGACGGAATGTTCTTGATGGCATCAATTAACGGCAGATTAATCTGAACCTTAGACAAAGTCTTCATAAAATCTGTTAACTGTTGATCTTTAGCTTTAGGTCTCAACCTTTCTGGATATGGCATAGGGGGCTCGTAAACACGTTCTGCAGTCTTTGTGGAAGCTTCTGCAGTATTTTCGGATCTGTCCTGGGACTTCCCAGAATCTGCAGAAATTTCAGAATCTGCAAAAATTGCAGATTTAGTTTGGGGTTGTTCTGCTGCCTGCGAATTCCCAACAGAATTTTCATGGCTGTTGTTGTAACTTTTGCCAGACCGTAGAGTCCGTATAGCATTGCATTCTTCTCGTCTTCTTGGATTAGGTACTGTTTGACTAGGAAATGAACCTGGTGCCCTTTCTGAAACCTGCAAAGCAATTTGCCCAATTTGTTTTTCCATATTTTTCATTGATTCATGCAGATTTTGGATTTCTTGACTGGTAGTATTTGCTAATTTTTCAATTGCAACTTCCCAAGCAGCCTTAGGGTGCAGCATGTTGTGGTACCTGCTGTTGAAATTGAGGCCTAGTGTGTTGATCTTTGTCCCACTTTAAATTCGGATGATCTCTCCAACCTGGGTTGTAGAAATTTGAATACGGGTCATATCTGGGACTTTTGAAAATTATTGAATGAATTAACCTGCTCCGCCATAAACTCCGGATAAGCATCTTTATGTGGACAGCTCAAAAAATCATGATTTGTCAAGCTGCAAATGCTGCAGGCAGATTGTAAGGGCTGCTGTACAGCAACTTGAGAACCTGGCATTCTTTGTAATAACATGTCAAATTTTGCGTCAATCCTTTTCTCCATTTTTTCAATTTGTGCTGTAACATACGGAGAACCGTTAGACATCTCAAAAACAGACCTAGATTGTGGCTGCTCAACTGCCCACTGTTGTGTATCTGCTGCCATTTTTTCAAATAACAAACAAGCCTCTTGTGCATTTTTATCCTTGTACGAACCTCCGCAAGATGCGTTGACAAGAGTTTTTGTAGTCATATTCAACCCTCTGAAAAATATATGCATTTGATCAGTAGTGTTAATACCCGAATGCGGACATTTTCTAGTCAACTCTTTGAACCGCTCCCATGCCTCATGAAACTCCTCATTTGGTTTTTGGGCAAAAGATAAAATCTGAGTTCTCATGTCAGGGGTCTTAGAAGCCGGATAATACTTGTTTAAAAATTTTTCACTAAGTTGGGCCCAAGTTGTAATGCTTCCAGATGGGAGTGTGAGGAGCCATCTCCTGGCCTGATCTTTCAGAGTGTATATGGAAATAAACGCAGCTTAATAGATTCGGATGAAAAACCCCTCACCAAAATGTTTTTGCACCCCATTAAAAATTCTGCAATGTGCATGTTAGGATCATCAGATGATATCCCATGAAAAGTAGGTAGAATATTCAACATGTGCTGTTTTATTTCAAATGCAATCCCTTCTTCCACTGCCGGATATGTAATGCAACTGGGTATATTTGTTGTATGGGCAGTCAGTGAATCACCCAGGGGCAGACCTGTCTCTGGAATTACGAACGCCATTTTGTCTTTGTTGTGCAGGTCCCCAGTAGATACTGTGTCCAGAAATGTTTCCTGCAGTGGACGAACCCGCTGCAAATTTTGCTCTCTGCGCCTCCTCCTTAAATTCTGCTCAAGTTCTGGATCAAGTGGAATCAATTTCTGCACTGTTGAACGGGTGCTGACCATGCACAGATTTCAGAAATCTGCACTGTTGTACTGTTGTAATCTGTAAAAATAAAAAAAACCGAAAATTAATTTTTTTTTTTTTTTTAATATGTATAAACAGCAATAACTAATTGAAAATCTGATTCGTAGGGATTATTTTAAATAATCCCCGGCAATGGCGCCATTTTCTTGATAGGGATTTTTACTACTCATGTGAATGCGATAAAAACCTTCTATTTTACTTGCAAGAATCACAAGGTTATTGTAGTATAAACGGATCTCGCAAGGTCATTCTCCACAGGGATTATTAAATAAACCGAAACAAACCAGATTTTAATTAATGATTGTAAAGTAGAAATTTGGATGATTGATTTTATAACCTACTTAAAGTAAAAACGAATTTAATGAATTAAAATAGATAATCTGCAATATTAAAGCTAGAGAGAAGAAAACAGTTATGAGAAAATCAAATTAAGAAGGCACTAGGGTTCCACCATCACTTAGCAATCCTATGAATTTTTACCCATTACTTATGATCTACACATGCCACTTTGAAGGTTAGATTTTCCTAATTCATATTCTACTTGGAACCTCCAATATAGAACGTATATCTAACATGCAACCCGTCCGGACGTTCGGATCAAATCTAAACATGAAAGACTCATTATGCTTTATGAAAATCCTTTGAAAAACCATGCAATCCTTAAGACGTGATATTCATCCTAAAAGAAGTTACAATTATTAATCACAAGAAGCCAGCGTCAATTTCAGGAAACCTTCCGACCAAAATTGCATCAAATTACTTTTCTAAAAATCCTAATGGTGATCAGGCATTAAAACAATTAGATAGTTTTTATCCCAGTGATTAACAATTCAAAGTACGCATGCAATCAATCATAAGCAATTAAATAAAAATCACATATTCATGCTAAGGCTCAAGGCTTCACCCTAGCAATAGAAATTAGTTCCGCATATTCATAATTGAAATCATAGAAACATCTCTTAAGAAAAGGATTGAAAACACCTTCAAGTAGAAAATCTTCAAAACCCTAGCACTTCTCTCTGTCTCCAATATTGCATAAAATAAAGCGTACCCTAAAACTGTAGACGGCCAAGCAATATATTTGCCAAGCCACCCCAAACCCTAGCAAACTAAAATTCATAAAAACCCTAAATAAAAATAGTAAAATTCGTCCAAAATCTGAACAGCCACGTTTTGGCCCAAAAGCTG